GCGTGGAGGTCCCTTTGCCGTTTTGTTTTGTTATGCTGCAGAAAGGTGCAGGCGACCTCTCTCGTTTGGGAGAGGTCGTGCGTGTCACCTCCTTATCTTAGGTGTCATAGCCATCATTGGTGGCAGTCATGAGGTTGAGGGGAACATTATTTGTTACCTTCATTCTGCTTCTTTGGTTACCTGCCATGGAGATTTTTGTACGCACAGAGAAAAAAGATAAACTTTGTGGTTTGTTAGATCAACAAGTTGCGTTAGTTATGGATCTAATGGAAATGAAAAAATTGGCTGAGAAGATCCCCATGGACGACATCAAACTTTATGACCCAAAATTAGATTTAGGTTTATACAATCAAATTTATAATAAAGTAGGGTTAATCTTAGCCAATATTAATATCCAAAAAGACAGACCAAATATTTTTGTAGTAAACTCCTTCGTGTGATGTTGAGTGGCAATGAATGACAACAATAATAGTGTAATAAATGATTCAAGAATATGGAGGATAACAATAAATAATAATAAATAGCATTTAAATCAATAAATAGATGAAGGCCACCCGACAAAGGTGAGATTCCCCAATAATTCTTCCGATAAGGATAGATAATGATAAGCCTTTGAATATTCGGATCTTCCTTGGATGGGGGGAGAAAGAATAGATAAAGATACGAGAAAAAAGGTGAACTTTGTAAGTGTATAATAAAGGAAGAATTTTCAGAGAATGTCAATATGTTATTTTTTTTACAATGAATGTCTCCTCTCCTCTATAACTACATATCTCTCTATTTATAAGGGTACATGGGCCACAAAACCCTAAATAGTACAACTGAGAGGAATATTCATTGGAATATTATCTTGGTAACCATAATCACAAAACTAGTTGTTACTGCTTTAATTAAAGGAGTTTAATTAAAGGAGTGCTCGTCCTAGTCTTCGTTCTCTATTGAGCCACCTCGACCTCGTTGATGACGCGTTGTTTTCTCATGACATCGACCTTTTGAAGCCACATCAACAGCCTTCTAAGGCTTCCTTAATGTCGACTTGGTTCACAGATAATCATGGTAATTTTAGCCCATACAGTATTCCCTCTGTACCATAGCTTAAAGTTGCATGCTAATTATCTACAAGTTTATTGGCTTCTCTATAGCAGGATGGAGGATTCTACATTTTTCTTCAGAGTGCCCTTGTTTCTTACTACGAAAATAGTATGCATGTATTGTTTCATACTCTATTTTTTCTCAAAAATTTCCAAATTACCTTTCAGGTTTCAAATTTCAACAAAACCCAGACTTTGCTAAGTCAATTTCAACCCTAACTTAGCATTTGTAGGTCTTGTTTTCCTATGGTAGCCTTATCCATCGAGATGAAGGTTCCTATATGAGTAACAACCTACATAAAGCATTCTATTTATAGTAGTGCCAGGGTAAATCAGGTAGGTTAATCCACACAGGTGCAAGAGGTCTGAAGTTTAAATTTGAATTTCTGGTCTACTTCATGATTTTCAAACTATTCTCCCCTTCAAAGTAAATAATTTGGAATAAATGGTATTATAATCATATTTGTTATGCTTGAGATCTTTTACTCTAATTTTCACATTGCATTTGACAGTAATAATTTTGACGAATTCAACCCTTTTTTCAATTACGGGTCTTATCTTAAGAAATTTAGCTATTATAGTTTATCAGTAAGTGGCTGCGGGCATGTTGTCATCCTCCTTGGTGAAGACCATAAGAGCTTTACGTTTATGTGCTCTGGGAGGAAGCTGAATTTTTTTCTTGTATGAATTTGTTGTTGCATCCCCCAGCACCTCAACATGTGAAAATTATTGGTTAAAGCTGGCAGCTATATCCATTTCTTTTGCGCCCATACTAATATGGGGGATTCTGAATTCTTATGGATTTGTCTCTCATTGTTGACTGGGTCTAGGGGATCTATGGGATGAGGAAGTGCGGCCCGAGAAGTTAAGTTGAGAGATACATGTGCACTCAACGGCGCACACAAGATTGTTTCCAAGCGGTGTCACCATTTTAAACCATGAACAAGTAAGCAAATATATTAAAAAAAGGAAAACAATTTGAATCATATTAATAAAACACAACTCAAGTATATTACTACAACTCTTCTTGATAAGTTTTTATTTTTTGAAATGCATTCAAAATAAAACTCATTAGAGATAATACTAAATACTTTTTTCTACATAAGGCATCAAACATTCAATTAAAACTCATCACTCATTTGATTTCGCGAATTATTTCTAAATAAATTTTATCGTCGAGAATAAAGTTGAAGGGAAAAAGAAAAAAAAATATAGCCGAACTACTTATGGAAGCAACATCATCCTTCCATATTCAAATAACGTTATGTCCGCTTAAGAGTGAAATATGACTCTTGAATCGTCGGTCAAAGTTTTGTTAACAACTAAAAGGTCAATGGTTCAAACCCAACTAGTGTATCTTTTTTGTAGATTAAGCACAAAAATTTTAAAATAAAAATTAATGTTGTCTACCTTCGAACTCGCGACCTTATTTACTAAACTGAGGCACTTGACCACACGACTTGCTTAGCTCTTTATTTCAAGTGGCGTCACTTTATTTAATTAATTCAAATTTTTGTTTCGACATTTAATCATATATAAATATTTAGCAAAATTTCCGGATAAAGCGGTGTCACGTAACACCGCTTCGCCTAAGCTAGATCCACCCCTGTGTGCACTAGCTTAACTAGCCATTATCCGTGACTTATTGTTGTTTGAAGAAAAAAAAGGAAAAAGTAAAGTTAGAGAGAGGTTAGAATTTCTCTCTTTCCGAGTCTACACTTGTTTCCGAGGAACAAGGATTACCTCAAGCAATGTGACTTTTCATCTTTGTAGGAAAAAAATATCGGCTTGAGGTATCAACTAAATATCAGATTTTGACACATACCAATGGTCCGCAAAAGGATTTTGGTGCTTTAAATTTTCTTGAAGACGAATTAATTTTGCAGTAATTAGTTTGTACCAAAAGAGAATACTGATAAAATGCATATGAGTATCTATTTCTAGAATTGCATATGAAGTTTAACTGACACACATGTAAGAATCTAGCAAACAATTTATCCATAAACAAGTAAAATAAAAAAGATTAAATTGAAGAAAAAACTTACTATAACTGAAAGCTTAGATCAAGATAAATTAGACGAAACGAACAACCTGTTAGAACATGCGCAGCGGAAGCAAGCATACAAACCAGACATCAAATACATATAAACTAAATAATGATATAATTACTCGATTAGAAGCACTAACCTCTTGAAATCGTTGCACAAATCCTCCACACAGCAAGAATCCAGGACTGCAGTCTTCTGCTATGGTCCTAGTAAGACCTTGGACGAATTTACTTTGAGTGGGCAAGAACAATACAACTGTAAAAAGTGAGTTATTGGGTGAAAAATATCTTCCTTAAGTAGACACGTTTTTCAGCCAAAATCCGGGCTCCAAAAACGTGTAGGATTCTTCTTGTGCATGTAGAATCCTACTCTAACTCTACCAGATAACTTTTCTCCCAAGTCACTTTTTACCCAAGTCAGTTCGAATTTTTATTAGGTATAGCAGGGACTACATAAATAATTAGCGACTACTAATTATAGTATTAATTCGAAATTTTGCATGAATTAATTCCCACTATAATTAATTGCAGTTTATTCCACTAAAAAACTGCAATTGAACTCCTCAATATGAATTTTAAAAATTCACTAACACTTGTTTTAACTCCCCATGTTAAGATCCCAAATACCAGTTAATTAAATTAAATCACTGATAATTTAACTTAATCGACTAATTAAATCCTTTATAATTCTGCTTAAACTATTTCATGTGATAAATACAAAATTCACTGGCCGAGTTTTCAAATGAAAACTTATAAGCTTACATAAAGGGGTATCATCAAACTCATAATCGAGTCATGGATTCTATCAACTAATTATTATTTCACAAATGCTATTCGTTATTGTCCAATCTATTAGGCATACACTAACTCTGAATAGAGTTGTACCTTTTGATAAATCAAAACAATAAATAAATCACATTGATCATAATAATTATATCAAGATTAGGAGTATAAACTCATTCAATGAATTTAGAGAAAATGTTTTATATATATTCAGTACAAAAATATCTTTTCTCTACTTGGTCCGTTCAATATACACTAAGTATACTAGCACAAGAAGTCAGAGTAAAACCACTACCATAATCAAGACAAATTATACTATAATCTTGTGCTACAATCATCAAGATATTTTGCCCAATAATATCTTCGATTGTGAATATAGTTTATTAATTATGAGAACCGACAATTTAATCTTCTGTGCATGAGCTAAGACTCCATACACTAAATTGTCTACTACATAACTAAAGGACACACATGTAACAAATGATCTATTTAAAAATGTACTTTATTGAATGGAATAATTAAATAAACAATTATTCCATAAAGAATAAAAAATACAATACCATGTCTAAACCGAATGGTTAATAGTATATCCCAACACAACTTTCGCAAGAAATCCACAAAATAAAATTTTGAAAGAAATATTATGATAGAATATAAGAGAGAAGAAGAAGATGAATCAGAGAAAGAAAAAACATTGAAATAGGAACCAAAGTGTGTAGAAGAGCGGAATTTTTGGTGGAATTCCTATCGTTATGTTCTGATATAATCATGTGTTACAAAAAGGAGGATATATTTAAGCCACAATATGCTCAGCAATCTTTTCTTCGGGGCGAAACATGAAAAACAGATATTTTTAAAAATAATCTTCATCGTCGTCCGAAGAAACTTTTACTTATTATATAGTTAATTAAATTAAAAAAGAAAATAGTACTAGTACAGTAACTTTTTTAGACGAAGTCTGAAAGCAAAAGAGAATTGCATAAATTGAAACTATCGAGGGGTCATATCCGTAAAGAAAAAATTCTTATGGGAAGAAAGTATATTTAAACTCAAACCCAACTAAAGCCGCTCCCTAGACAATTAGACGCAGCCAATTTAGAGAGCATTTGCGTGACCAAAAAGAAAAAGCCTCCGGAGAACGAGAGACTTTCAACATTGAACAAATAATTAAACGGCAGTGGGTCTGGAATTTCAGTTGCTGATTCTTTCCTCAATCCTAGTCTTCTCCAGTTTCTTCCAAGTAAGCCTAGTTTCTTTCTTTATCTTTTAGAGTGTTTATTTTATGGTTTGTTTATAGAAAGGAAGTTCACCCAGTTGGTTAATTTACGAAATTTTCTTAGACTGAAGCTTATGAATGTCCAAGTGGAACTGATGATTTACATACGGCGGAAGTGGTGGAGTTTATAAGAAAAAAACACTTTTGCTAATATGTGAGAAAAAGTGGAATTTGTAAAGTTACTGGTTTATTCGAATTAGTAATGCACCAAATTGACTTGAAGTGTTTTTTTGTTTTACAAATATGTTATTGCATTGGCATTTGCCAGAGCTGCCCAAAAAATAATGCTATTTTTTCTGCTTAAGAAAGTTATTGGAAGAAAATGTTTGTGTTAAATGGTGTTGTAGTTTTTGCATTTCCCGCTGAAAAACTAAATCCTCACATAAAAAACTAAAACGACTGTAGTAATTCATTGCCAAATTTTATGTAATGATGGAATCCAATGTTATTTCAGTCGGGGAATTTTACTTTTGTGTCCTTGGAAGTTGCTTCCAGCTCAAAATGGGCAGACTGAGGTGGACAGGGGTTTCCCCAAAATCTATCATGCGAATTGCTGCGGTAATATTTCTGAAAACTACAGCAACATTGTTCGGTATTTTAAAGAAGTGGTAATATTGTGGCTAAACGCTTTTCTTCATTTCCAGTCATGGCGCACAGTTTCTGCAGATTCGATGATTGATAAAGGAAATGTGCGTGCACATGTTTCAGAATATCTACCCACGTTACTTCAAAGTCGCTGTAAGAGGCTTACCTTTTAACTGTAACATGTGAAGTTTGAACTCTTTTCTATGCATCAAACTTTGCAATTTTAAGGATTCTTCGTCATGAGCTACTTTTCATGAATTAAGCTCAACTTTGTGCCTTAGTTGTTAGTTAGGTTAATTTGGAATTGATTATGGTGTGAAACATTACATGAACTTAAACTATATTTTTTTGATGGTGCTGATTCCAGGTCACTCTATTTTTTGTTTTTTGTTTTGATGAAAGCATATTTTATTGATGTCCTGGGAGAAATCCCCGAATACAAGAAGTATAACAAAAGACAACAATATGGTTCTCTATAATAGAAAGCCAATCATCTATACCTCAGGGACTTTGTGGGTGCTCCAAAAGTTAAAGCAAAATAAAAAATAAAAAATGAAAGACAAGGCGTAAACTGTACTAAGTCATGTCCCCCTCCCCCTTTCCCACACCCNCTCATGTCTGCCTTTCCTTCTTCTCCTCCTGTATGTCCAATTATGTATCACACCTTTCACTATTTTCGGCATTTTTGATTGTATTCCAAACAAGTTGCACTAGAATTTTCCATTATCGAGAAAGAACTTCCACGTGCGTGGCTCACGAAAAAGAATCAAGCCCACACGTGAAGGGGTGTGTTGAAGACATAATTAAGTAAATAAAAGTGCACTCTTTATCCTTATAAAAAATAAATAAAAGCGCACTCTTTCGAACAACGTACGATTTTAGATGGGATAGTCACACACTTCAACAATATTTACAACTTAAAATTTTCTTTGCATCGTCCTCTTATTTTATACTATGTGTTATGTGTAGTTCATTTGATTTAAAATTATTAAAGTTATAATTTTTAAAAAGATAGCACAAAGTCAGTCAATCTACTTGAGAATCGAAAAGGTGAAAGTCCCATAAGAATTAGAAGTCAGCCCATTGTGGTTCTATTTAGACAAGTAATATTTATATTATATTTATAGAGGTCAAACTTTCAATATCATGAATCTGAAGGGAGCATATTTAGAACAACCATGCTGCGCAGCTAGATTAGAGGAACTTTAAAGATGAAAAGCTAAATGATTTAAGAAGTAGTTCAGTTATTTCCCCCTAAATAAAGTAAGGTTTACTAAGTGTTCAGGGCTGGTGAGTTACATTGCAATGATATCCTAATTCAATGGAAGATAATTAGCAGGGGATAAAGAATGAGTCTTATGTCTAGTTCTTCATATCACAATTCCATGCTAGGGATAAAACCATACCACTGCAATAGGCAATAGTCCTTTCTCTGTTTTATGATGTAATCATCACATCTATGTTCTTTCCCTATCCCGGGCTAGCTTTCACACACCTCGACTATTTCAATGTGTACTTGCTACCTCTCACCAGTACGTGTACTGGGTAACTCTGCCCACCAAGATTTAGCAAGTGGGAAGAAATCACCTAGTGTTTTGTACCTCCGCTGAGATTTGAACCTGAGACCTCGTGGTTTTCCTACCACTTCATTGACTACTAGGCCATATCCTTGGGCTCCCAAGTATCCCAGTATAACCATTCTACTGCAAAGTATATGTTGCATATTTTATTGGTACC